TATGTATGTATACATGTGTATGTATGTATATATATATATATGTACGTATATTCTTTTTTGCCGTTCTCATATACTATCTATCTATCTATCTATCTATCTATCTATCTATGTGTCTATCTATCTATCTATCTATCTATCTATCTATGTATCTAACCTTACCTGTCTATCTTATCTTACCTATCCGTCGGGACTTGTCTATCTATTTATCTGTCTATCTATCTGTCTATCCATCTATCTGTCTATCTATCTGTTTCATCTTATCATCTATCTGTCTATCTATCTACCTGTCTGTCTATATGTATATACGAAGTGTGTGTATACATAGATACATATATACATATGTATGTGTAAACGTGTATATATATATATAGACATACAAACACACATACACTGCAATGTACCCCGAAACCCTACGCAGCCTTGAAATGCCGCGCATTAACTGGGGGGCGCAGATTTTTTCTCGCTTCCCGAAGGCCTAAACCCTACCGTAGATCTTGAACCCCAATTCCTAAACCCTGAGGCCTTCGGGTTGGGGTTTTAGGGTTTAGGGTTTAGGGCTTCAGGGTTTAGGACTTTAGGGGTTTAGGGTTTAGGGGTTTAGGGGCCCTAAACCTTGTAGCCTAAACCCTAAGCCCTACACCCCAAAGTCCTAAACCCGGAACCTTGAACCCGAAACCTGAGACACTCTTAGGGTTCAGGGTTTAGGGTTTAGGGTTTAGGGTGTAGGGTTTATTAGGTTTTAATTAGGGTTTAGGGTTTAGGGTTTAATTAGGGTTTAGGGTTTTGGGGGGGGTTAGGGTTAGACTCCCCGTCCCCTCAAACCTGAATTACTCTCGCGTTACGATGGCCTGACGATGGTGCTTAGGGTTTAGGGTTTAGGGTTTAGGGTTTAGGGTTTAGGGTTTAGGGTTTAGGGTTTAGGGTTTAGGGTTTAGGGCCCCGAACAGGAGGCAAGGGAGCTTGCACGCCAGAGACACTTTACCCAGACTGCCAGTACCCCTTGCTTGGAGGGTCGGGGGACTTAGTAAATGGTTATTTTATAGACTTATAAGTACTATAATCCCAATGAGGGTCCCTTTTAGGGTACTTATAAGTCTACTTATTACCTACTTACTAAGTCTCCCGACCCTCCAAGCGAAAGGGACCATAATTTTGACAGCTACCCATATAGGGAGAGCTCCTTCTTGCAGACATGGCATCGCCTTCGCCTTTCCCGAGCAAGGTGCGCAGCCGTCAGTGGTTTAGGACTTAAAGGTTTAGGGTTTAGGGTTTAGGGCCTAGGGTTTAGGGTTTAGGGTTTAGGGTTTAGGGTTTAGGGTTTATGACTTACGGTTTAGGGGTCTGGATTCCGGGCTGAGCTGAAATTATTGAAGTAATGGAGTTGTCGGAGAGTTTCCGAGAGTCCCGCAGAGATTCGACGGCTTCAGGGATTCAGGGTCTAGGGTGTAGGGTTGAGTGTTTGACAAAGGGTATTTGGGCCTGTTATTCAGACCCCTAGATTATATAAACTTGCAACAAGCAAACCTCATATAGAACCTGTATGTAGAACCCGTAGAAGTAGGCCCTAGTATCACAGAGGTCGGAATCATTGCAAACAGTACTCAGTAAGCCCTTGCTGTGCCTTTATACTCGTAGCTATCTTATTATACCTACCGAGCCCTGTTCGATCTACCTACTCAGGACCCCAATGAAGCGTCATAGCAGCCGACGAATCCCGTGTGAAATCCGAGCCTAACAACAAAGGCCACACTACTGAATCTGAACCCTAAACCCTAAACCCTAAACCCTCTTAAAGCAGCCCTTAGAGTACACCCGCAGCACACGCAGACTGGCGGGGTGGCAGCTGCGCAAGTCGAGCAGGAGCAGATGAAGGGCTACATGGAGAGGGCCTCATCCATGGTAGGTGTATTCCTAGGTAGTATTAGGGAGACCCCTTAAAGGGGTTTAGGGTTTAGGGTTTAGGGAGGGCGTCATCCATGGTGGGTGTATTCCTGGTAGTATTAGGGAGACCCCTGAAAGGGGACCCTTCTTAACCGGTGTTCTATATCCCCAAGGGTCCCCCCAATCCTAACTCCCTTGTACGTGAGACTGCATGCCTGGATGGATGTATGCATTTTTGTTTATCTACTATATATGTTTACATATGTACATATACATACACATACAGAAATAATGAGAAATACGTAAGCATACATGCATGTGGTACTATAGGCATATATGTATATGTACATCCACGCACACATGCTTATGTGACTTATGTGTCCGTCTCCCTCCCTGTCTGTCTGTTTGCCTGTCTGTGTCTCTATGTGCCTCTCTCTACCTATCTCCCTCTCTCCCCATTGCTCGCCCTCTCTGTATCACCCTTTCATGAACGGATGTGTGCATTCATGCAGATGCAGCGTTACAGACAACTACACACAAACACACATGAAGCGACACTTACACATACAGTCGCACAAACAGATGCAGGAGATAACACAACAATGTCGGGTCAGATGACTTGTGTTTTCCCGAAGCTCGTTGTAAGGCTCTAGCTGCCACAGAGACAGGGCCAGACCTATGCCTCCTGATTCGAGCGATGCCGGGATGAAAGGTGCACTCCTCTCAGCCGTCTTGCCCCTTCTGGGTGCGAGCGCTGGCTATTACCAGCTCCTTGCGGGTGTGAGGAAGGCACAAGCTGAGGTACCCGGCTGCGATGGGGACATAAGCAACTTGGTTTAACTTTACAGTCGCTTTATAGCTTTATGACTTTTAGGATTAGCCTGTTTTGGTATTAGGGGTGCTAAAAGTTATAATTTTAGCAAGGTAATAAAGCGCAACCCAGGCAAGTACACTGCCGTGAGCAGCATCATGCTGGCAGTCTGTGCTGTCTACGGATTCGTCGGGGCTTTTGTCATCAGCGCTGACCTAGTCAAGGACTCACGGGTTGGGTAACCCTGGGTAGGTGCCCTTAACCCTTGTTCGGTCTTTGAGATGTAAAGTCCAACTATTAAGACGTTGACCTGTCTTGGTCTAGGATAACCAGCGCCTAGCAGGCACCCTAAACCCTAAACCCTAAACTAACAGGAGCCAGCCTTGCCGGAGAATTCCGCCTTCGCGGCGGGACTGGTGAACGGCCTGGCTTCTGCCATCTCCGCCGTGGGCCAGGGCTGCTTTGCAGCGAAACTGGGCTTTGGAGTACCATACTTTAATATTTTTTGGGGGGGACCTGTTCCTTAAAGGAGCCATTATGAAGTTACAGTCTATACTTTACCTCCCTGGTTACTTCAAAGCCCAGGAAAGCTGTAGAGGCGGGAGCTCGTCAGGCAAGCAGCTTCGTTGCTTCGTCGAAGAAGTAAACTTTGACCCTAAACCCTAAACCCTAAACCCTAAACCCTAAACCCTAAGCCCTAAACCCTAAACCCTAAACCCTAAACCCTAAACTTTATAACCTTTTTTGGGGTACGTTGCAGCCCACGATCCCCAAAGACCAATCTTGAGTTCCCCTAAGACGGAGTTTGACGAAGTATACTGTATACAGCGGATAGGGTTTAGGGTTTAGGGTTTAGGGTTTAGGGTTTAGGGTTTAGGGTTTAGGGCTTAGGGTTTAGGGTTTAGGGTTTAGGGTTTCGGAAACTGAACAAGCAAGGTTGCCTTTGTCCTCATCTTGATCTACATCGAGGCTTTTGCTCTCTATGGCCTCGTAGATAGCCTGGTGATCCTTGGTGGCTCAATAAGTATACTTTCCATTTTTTGAGATGCTATTGTCCCCTGTAGAAACCCTAAGCCCAAAGCCCCTCTAGAAATCCTAATCCTAAACCCTACCTTAACCCTCATCCCTGAACCCTAAACCCGAAACCTCAAAACCCTAAACCCCTAAACCCTAAACCCCTAGACCCTAAAGGGTTGCATCCTCGCCTATCCACTGACCCTAAACCCTAAACCCTAAACCCTAAACCCTAAACCCTAAACCCTAAACCCTAAACCCTAAACCCTAAACCCTAAACCCTAAACCCTAAGCTAAGCAACGAAGGATCGGAGGAGTGGCCCTGGAGACCCGGGTCGATCTTCATCCTGGTACTGTGATGCCCTTTACTTCGGTGTTCCTCCTTGCCACCTTCGGAGGTGTCCTAATAGGGTTTAGGGTTTAGGGTTTAGGGCTTTTTGGGTGCAGGGTTTAGGGTTTAGGGTTCCTGAACCCTAAACCCTAAACCCCTAAACCCTAAATCCCTAAAACCTGCTTGAACTCCTTCTTACGGAGACTCTATGAAGCCCGTGTAAACAGCTCCGACTTGATTCCAAGCTTGAAAGAGGTCGAAGCCCTTAGGCCACCCTTTGGTGCGGTAGTCCTTCTGCTTTTTGTGACCCTTGGAGGTGTGGTCGGCTCAGCCGTTTCCGGATATGCGATCATGGAGATCGTTCCAATGAGGCCTGATTTGGCCATGAAGTCGATGACTCTTAGACGTCGCATAAGTCGCCGTTACCACCTTTTTTGGGGGTATATGCGCTCATCTCGCTCTCTCTCTCTCTCGCTCCCTCTCTCTTTCTTTATGAAGACATATATATATATATATATATGTATGCGCACATTCTCTCTCTTTCTTATATATATATATATATACGTGTGTGTGTGTGTGTATATGTAGGCATATAGACATACATACTGCCAAAAGGAAACATTTTCCCGCCCCGCCCCCCCCCCCTCTCTCCCCGCAGAAGCTTGACAAGTAAGGGTTCCTGTCGTCTTCAGCGGTGTTACCCTAGACCCTAAACCCTAAACCCTAAACCCTAAACCCTAAACCCTAAACCATAGACCCAAGTAAGGATTCCTGTCGTCTTCAACGCCCTAAACCCTAAACCCTAAACCTTAAACCCTAAACCCTAAACCTTAAACCCTAAACCCTAGACCCAAGTAAGGATTCCTGTCGTCTTCAACGGTGTTACGGGCATCTACGGCCTGATCAACGGCGTCGTAGACACGCAGCCATGGCCGCCGACGGGTAACGACTGGGCCGCTGGCCTCTTGTACCTCCTCTCTAGTGCCTTAGATGACTATAGTTTAGGGTTTAGGGTTTAGGGGTTTAGGGTTTAGGGTTTAGGGTTTAGGGTTTAGGGTTTAGGGTTAAGTGTTTAGGGTTTAGGGGTTTAGGGTTTAGGTTTAGGGGTGTAGGGAACCTTACTGGGTTCTGGAGAACCATGCTTGAATAGTTTTTTGGGGGACCTGTTCCTTAAGGGAACCATTATGAAGTTAAAGTCTATACTTTCTTCTCCCTGGTTACTTCAAAGCCTAGTTAGACAACTAGTGGGAGAACTTTAAAGACTTTCTGGCCTTCTGAATTGGGATCAATTTCAAAAACTTTCGATCTTTTTTGAGCCAGGTGTTTGAAGAAGACTGTTTGACAGTTTTATTACTTTTTTGTTTGGGGGGTGGCCTTAAACCCTAAACCCTAAACCCTAAATCCTAAACCCTAAACCCTAAACCCTAAACCCTGGGGAGGGGGGGGGGCCCGTCTGTTTGAAGAAGAGAGGTGTCGGCTTGAGCTACTACGGCTACACAGGCGTGAAGGCGCTGGTGGGACCTCACAGTCTCGCGACCCGGCTGGGGTTTTAGGGACTGTAGGGGTTTAGGGTTTAGG